TACTTGAGACCTTTCTTGTTTCTTGAGAAAGGCTTGTATTGCTATATACTTTCCTCTTAGGACTGCCTTTAGCATTGACATTTCTTGCACTATTTGTCCAAGAACCAACCCATTTCCCTTTCTACCCGTGCTTTCCACCTCTCATGTGGTAGTAAATGTATAAATTTTTTAATGGTTTTGGTCTGTATTTTTATAAACTTACATAAAGAAAGATGCCAAACTCCTAAGTGTACAATTTAGTAAATTATCATCAGGCCAAGACCCCTGTAATTATCACTCAGTTGGTAAATTCTTGCAAGATGCTAAATTGGAACTTCCAACTGAGGTACCAAGGCCCAGAGAGGCTGCATTCCAAAGCAATGAGCCTAAAACCAGTTGTAGGACTCTTGAAACCAGGACCAGCTTGAGGGCATAGAAGGATTGAGTTGTTGGATATGAGAGAACATTTGTAAAAAGCATCTCTTTGGAGAAGACTGAGCCAAGAGTATTGACACCCCCACTCATGAGAAGAGGAGTGGAATTCCTTTCCTTCATCAAGAGAGAGGGGCTTCAGAGGGACCACATGGAATGCCTGGCATGTGTCCCATGCTCTAAATGGGACCCAGTAGGCAGGTGTCTGATGGCTGCTCAGGAAATCTTGAAGATAAGGGATCAAATTCCAGGGGAATTGTTTATTAGTGATCTAGCCTCACAAAAACAACCTAGACAAAGGACTAAGGCTAGCACAGTGCCTGGCACACATTGGAAGCCCTCTGTCCACCACAGTAGCCATGATTGTCATTGTTCTTGCCCTTGGACTTGAGACCTGGTGAAAGGGCTACACCTCTCCTGGTGAAGGCTTCCCTGCTTCCCTGCTTCCTGACTCCTTGTTGGCTAATTCAGGACTGGGTCTTGTTCATGGAGGCCTGCCCATACAAGCACCAGCAGAGGTGCTGTGGGGAGATCTGAAGGAAGCCAATTTGAACATCTCTCCTACCACCCATCTCTGTCTCAGAACGTCTCTACCTTCTTAAATCCCATCATTTACCTTCCTTTGGGTATTACTCTAAAAGCTCCTGCTAACCATAGAAGGGATAGCCATTAATCTATGTGTTGGGTCATGCCACGGACGTAGTGCCCTGCATTGCTCTGGGATGTGGGTATGCACTGTTTTCTTTGGGGCTGCCTAGCATCCCGCCCCCTTTCCTGTCCAGGTGGTTTCCCCACCATCGGAACCTCAACACACAGGGGTGTGCTAGCGCAAGATTCACCAGCCTACCAAAACCAATCCTTAAATTCTCTGGAATCATTTGAGTTGGGTATTAAATGGTTGGCAGATAAAAATCAGTCGTGGTGGGAATGTTTACACCATAGAAGTCAGCAAACTGCCACAGATCAGTTTTTCCCCCTGGAGAGCAGGTTGCTAAACACTTACCAGCACACCACTAGGCACATCAGTTGGGGTGAGCCAAGTGATCCTATCTGAGGCTTTGAATCTTGGGCAGGTAACCCAAGACAAAGGGACAGGACAGAATCTGTTTCCCGCAGCGGCAGCTGACCATAGCAGGGTTGTCCGCTGGGGCTAGTGGCAGAGCCCAGCGGAGATCTGTCATGATCTTGGTTCAGTCTTCCTTCTGCCTCACTTCCTTTGTTCCTGCCCAACCTCCATGCCTTCTCCTCCAGTCTTCCCAGCAATTCTAAGAGCTACCCTTTCCTCCTAAGCTAACCAGAGCCAGTTCCTCCTGAGGGGTTGCCTGATAGAGATGATGAATAACCGGGTAGACGAGAAGTCCCTGAGGAAGAAGCAGCTCATTTTGATTTTAGCAAAGGGAAGGGCCACTTGGGGCAGAGCAGCCCTGAGCTCATTCACTTAACAAATGGGAGCACCTACTGCGTGCAAAGCTGCAGATACCAAACAACTATGCCATTAATTCTTTTTTTTTTAAAGATTTTTTTTTTAAAGATTTTATTTATTTATTTGAGAGAGAGAGAATGAGAGAGAGAGAACACATGAGAGGGGATAGGGTCAGAGGACGAAGCAGACTCCCTGCCAAGCAGGGAGCCCGATGCGGGACTCGATCCAGGGACTCTAGGATCATGACCTGAGCCGAAGGCAGTCGCTTAACCAACTGAGCCACCCAGGCGCCCCTTTTTTTTAAAGATTTTTATTTATTTATTTAACAGAGATAGAGAGCACAAGTAGGCAGAGCAGCAGACAGAGGGAGAGGGAGAAGCAGGCTCTCCGTCGAGCAGGGAGCCCGATGCGGGGCTCGATCCCAGGGCCCTGGGATCATGACCTGAGCTGAAGGCAGCCACTTAACCGACTGAGCCACTCAGGTGCCCCCATTAATTCTTGTATGGATTGTTCCAGCACTGTGAGTTCATACCAATCTAGAGATAACTATTTGAACCCTGCAATGGGTAAAGTGCTGTGCAAGGTACTAAGGGACATACTGAAAAAATTAAACAATCTGTGGCTCCCTTCCATAATTTAGGGTTTAGCTGGTGACATAGGTATGTGCTCATGTGGCTAAATATCTGTCTGGACACAAGCTCTCATTCATAAGGAGCATGGGACCTGGAATTTCCAACTTTAGGGATCAGGGAAGGCTTTCTGGAGAAGGTAGGCTTTGAGGACAGCCTCGACAGTGGTTTCACATGTGCGTGTCAGAGAAATGCAACTTCTTCTTTTTTTAAGTAAAAAAAACCTCTCTTTTTATTAGAAAATAATACACATTCATTTCCAGAAAGCATTCAACAATACAGAAAACGTACCTGTGAAATTCACCACCTGAAATCCTACCACCTACAGGTGGCCAGAATTAGCACGGCCATGGGCCCGTCTGCCCAGCTGCAGGATCCTGTTATGCACGCTGTTGTGTAACCAGCTGTTTTCACTCAACAATATGTCATGGACATTTTTCCATGCCAATTATTCCCAATCTACATCACCATTTAAGTGGCTGGAGAGTATTCCATTATACGGATGCACTCTAAATTAATCAAATCCCCATTGATAAACATTTAGTGTTGCGATCAAGGGCACGGACTCTGGAGCCCCACCGCCCAAGCATAAATCCTGGCTCTACCACTCCCTGGCTGGGTGATTTTCAGTGGAAACCCTACCTCTCTGAGTGCAGGTTCCTCCTCTATAAAATGGGGTTATTAATAATACCCACTGCATAGGGATGTTGTGAGTAGATGTCTGCAAAACATTTGTAACAGTTTCTAGCACACATTAAATGCTCAATTAAGGCTGTCATAAGCACGGCTGTGACCATCATCTGAATACGGACTCCCCATTACCTACTTCGGATAATGAAATATATAGAAGTAAAATGAACTAGCCAAACGGTAAACATATCTAAAATCTTGACTACTATGGTCCACCATCGGTGGGCAGGAGGACCTGTGGTTGGTAGGAGGCCGGTAGAGAGGACAGCCACTGCTTCCTGGCCCAGAGCACCGGAGACCCTCCCAAGGCGTCCGCACCTCCCGCCAGCGAAATCTCCTGACTTGCCCAAACTTCTGGGTGGCATCCTGGAACACAAAGCCGGATGAAAATTAACAGCAAGTCAGGTCAGACTCTCTCACTTTGATTTCTAGAAGGAAAGCTAGAGTTGGGGCCATATTTGAAAATATAGGTCAAATCTCGGTTTCTGTGGTTACCAAACACTGTCAGCCACTAGGGACTCCCTCCCTCGGGGGTGATGCCAGGGTTCCGAGGCCTGGCAGCCGGGCCTGGCTCCCCTCGGGCTGCGCCCCCCGCCCGGCTCTGCTGCCCGCGGGCCGCGGAGGGACTGCCGGGCGCGCTGCAAGCGGGCAGGGGCCCGCGGGCACCCTGCCCTCCACTTCTGGGGGGTGGGGAGGCTTGGCGGTGCTGCCGATGGGGCTCGGGGCGGGGGGGGTACCCCGAACGGCGGCCCTGCCCACTCGCCTGCCCGGCTTCCCGCGTCCGCGGTCGCAGGGAGCGCCCCGCCTGGGCACGGGCCGTGCCCGCCGGAGGAGGGAGGAGGCCGGCCGCCGCGGGAACAATGTGGTCGATTGTTTTGCCGACTGTCAGCCTCGTTCCCGGATCCTCCTTTCCACGCCCCTTGGCCTAACCGCCACAGGCCCGGGACGCAGAGGGAAGAGCCCCCTTATTTGGTCTTGGAAAGAAAGGGGAAAGGTTATCCTCAGATGCCTGCGGCGTTGGGTCATCGGCCCGCAGTTGTTGGCCCGCACCCGGCTGCGGTGCCGTCTCCCGCCGGTAGGTGGCGGCGCCGGGCAGCGCCTCGCGGAGGCGCCCGAAGTGGTAAACAAGCCCCGCAGGTTCCGGTACCTCCGTCTCGGGGTCTTCTTTTGTGTGCGCGCTGGCAGGGGCGTGGGGGTGGTGGCCAGCGGCGGAGGAGGCAGGGGGCGGCGGAAGAGGGGGGAAAGAGCGCGAAAAGAAGAAAACAACGCCTTTTTTAATGCGACAGTCAAACCTTCGAAATCGGCTTCAGTGGAGGGTGTGACTTTGCCGTGTCGATTTCATGTGACCCATTTGCTCGCGCACAGGCGGATGCGGGCGTCAGTTTCAGGGTCCGCCCGGCAGTTGGGATGCAGATTCCTTGAGGAACATCAGTCAGGTACTACTAGGTGAAGTTCAGTACCAGCCTGGAGGCTTCCTTTCTTTCCTCCCCCCATCCCCTCCTTCCTCTCCCCTCCCTCTGCCAGCTTCTCAGGTGAGCTAGTGAGGTGGAGCGAGCCACCTGCCTTCTTTGGCCTGAGCAGGAGGAGGGGGCGGAGGTTCCTAAGCACTAAGCACGTGCAGGCCGGCCCTTGCTCACCCTTATTGCTGATCCTCACAACAGATCAGCAAGACAGAAATTACCCTCGCCATTTTACACGTAGCTCCCAGAGGTTAAGGTCACACAGACCAAGCTGGGATTTGAACCGTGGGCCTTCACACTTCAAAGCCAAGGCTTGTCCCATAATTAGGAGCACAATGACCTCGCCAATGATTCCTCACAATAAAGCTCCCGTGATATGTATGTTCTCCAAAGAGCTTTAAAAAGAACCAAAACAGGAGCGTGATTTGAATGTCTTCAGCAGAACAGAGCAAAAGCTTTACCATCTGTGGAGGTGAGTCTGGTGGTTGAATTTGCTCCCCGGGGGTGGGAAGGAGATCCGAGATCAGGGGAGCCAGGGGGCATTAGCTTCTGCTTTAACTGCCCTCAGGGGCTCTTGCGTATCTCCGAGGTGCTCGGGGGCAGCAAGCTGCGTAGTCCTGGTCGCTCCACTGCGGGCTCCAAAGAGGGGACTGCGGGGGCGTTGGGGGAGGGGGTACGGGGAGCTGTTGCTAACTCTTATTTTCTATTTTAGGCAAGTCGTAGAGGCCCTTTTGTTTGGCTAAGCGTCCCACCTGCAACTCTGCCCCTTCGCATTGTTCATTCCATCTGCCTCCTGGGGAGAAGGGGGCAATAATTTTCATCCAGAAGACCAGTTTCAGGTTTCCTCATCTGGAGATAAATTAATTTTCCAAGGCACACAATTATAGGCAACTTTTCAAAGAGTTACTGGAGGGGCGCCTGGGTGGCTCAGTCGTTAAGCGCCTGCCTTCGGCTCAGGTCATGGTCCCAGGGTCCTGAGATTGGAGCCCCACATCAGGTGCCCCACTCGGCAGGGAGTCTGCTTCTCCCTCTCCCTCTGCCCCTGCTTGTGTTCCCTCTCACGCTATGTCTCTATCTGTCAAATAAATAAATAAAATCTTTAAAATAAAAAAAAGTTACTGGAATGACAGTTTCATGCTTAGATTAACTGGTGCCAGGTTTTCTTTTTCTTTTTTTTTTTATAAAGAAAGTTTGTGTGAATAAAGTTAAATCCAAGAAATGTGTTTTTTCTCTATCTCTCTTTTCATGAAATTGTAAAAAAAAGAGAAAAAAGAGAAAGCTCCTTCTTCCAGTTTTGGGGGGTTTCCAGGTTTCCAAGAATTTACTTAGTAGCTTGCTACACAGTATATTTCTGTGGAAAAATTACAGCAAGACCATCTTATAGATCATTACTTTCCAGTCATTGTTTTATTGGTCCCCAGCTTCAATGAGAACAAGCACTGTCTGGGTTTGCCCTGACCTCCAGAGCTCAAGTCCTCATTACAGGAGCCAGAGAGGGTCCTTGGCAGGATCAGGAATGTGGCAGGGACTCCACACCACAGTCTTTCTGGGAGGGGAAGTTATAACTGAGTCCTTAATATCTCATCGTCTCAGGGACTGCCCTGTTTAGAGGGGGAGTGGCACCCAGCCACCCAGCACAGCCCACAGCCCTGGAAAGAGTTACCCAGCCTTGGCCACACTCCTTAATCTCCGTGCTCCAGCTGTTGGGAGGATTGGATGATTTCTTCATATGCAAAGGGCTGAAAACAGTGGCCCATGGGGAGCACATCTCCCAGGGTAGTTGGGGTGGGGGGGGAGATTAAATGAAATAATGTTGTAAAACCCTTAGCCCAGAGCCTGGCACCCGGAAAGGAATCAATAAATGTCTGGTGAGCAGCATAATCAGCTACCTCTTTTTGAGTGCCAGCTAGAGGGGACAGATTACTTAAGGCTCTTTATGTACGCACGTGAATCCTTATGGAAAACCTAGGATGTGAAAAAAGTTATTGTTCATACAGGGAATTCAGAATCAGGTTAAGCAAATGACCCAAAGTCATACAACTAGTATGTGGCAGGGCCAGAATCTGTCTGATTCTGTGTCCTTTTGATTATGGGCAGCCTGGAAGGGAAGAAGAGATCACAAACAGTCCTATGTACTGAACTGAAGGGTTGTTATAGGAGAAGTTCCAACTGCCTCCTCGATATGAATAATTGCTACTATCCCTATGTCTTTGGGGTGGCTGTGGAAGACCATCATGTAGGGCTGATTAGACCTATAGATATAAGAACCAGTCACCTTTGGGTCTCCTGATTGTCATCTGCCTAAATTCCCAAAGCCTCTTTGAACCCTTTTAAGGGCAGAGCAGAGATGGCTCTATGTACTGGTTAGGACTCTTTCTGTTTTTGCAAAACACAGAAACCCAACCCAAACTGAGTTAAGCAAAAAGAGATATAGTTGGCTCATGCAACTGATAATGGAAAGAGGAAGGCTTCAGGCCTGGCTTGATCCAGGGTTCAACAATATTATCTGGACTTGGCCTTCTTTATATCTCAGCTCAAACTTCCTCCACGTTGGCTTTAGTCTCAGATTGCCTCTCTCACTGACGCTTTTTGGCCCTCATTGATCAGGCCTAGGAAAACTTGGGTCCCTAAAAGAAAAGTCATGGTTTCTTTTATTAAAAGAGGCTAGGGTTGCCAGTTAGGCAAGAGTAACAGATGTTCACTCTTCCCTGACTAAGTGGCACCATCCAATCAGAAAGACGGTAGAGAAAAAACCTTAATGGTGAACATTTTTGCAGCAAAGGATCTTCAGTAGTTAAGAAGCAGAGGAGAGATAACTAGAAATGTTTCCAGTTACACACGGGACCTAGGATTCCCCTGTTTCAAGTCAGGCTAGCTGACTGTAAATGATAGAGTAAAAACCTTGATGTCATAAGGATTGTGTCTGAAGATCTTTAGAAATCTTCATTGTCCTGCTATAGCAAAATGCTTTAACAATATAATGTATAATAATATAAACATAATTAATATATAACAGAATGCCATGACATATGTACTGTTATACTGATATATAAATTAATGTACAAATGCAATAAAAACCTAATGATCTTCCTGGACTAAAGATCTCTGTAGACCCTTAATGAGAGTTACCTCACACACAACTATAAATAAAACGTTACAAATCTACACTGAGGGTGGATGCCAGGCTGTTGACTCAGTGTGGTCACAAGCTGCGTGATGCTTTGTTCCTTGCACCAATCTAATGCAACTCAAATCAAATTGGCAAATTATTAGATGTCACGGGCCTCTGGTCACTTCTCGAACAGTCAAGCTTAAGGATGTCCCCTGGACAAATGCCAAAGTGCTGCTTTTCTGTCATTACATTTGCGATGGAGGCATGTTCTATATTCAGGAGGTGCTGCTGGGCACTCAAGAGTGGGATTGGGAAGTGGGCAAGCTCCCCCTCTCCTGCCTGGGGTGTGGCTCCCGGCACCCATATTTTCCCCTGGGTCCTCGTGTCCACGCTTCATCCTGCATTGTCCCCGTCACTAGGGTGGAAACTTTGGATCCCATTTAGAGGCGGGCACTCAACATGAAATTGTCCTTGATGTCAATCAAGGCTGTCCATTTGTCCAAAGACTCTCCAATGTCATGTCCCATCCCGTGAGCAGGGAGCAGGTAAAAACCAGCCTGAACAGGTGTTTGTATCTCCAGAATGTGCCCTCCCTTCTGTTGGTCTCTGCTGACTCTCCAGCCCCGAGCAGTCAGTTTGCTCCCCCAGTGTCCCTCCTGTGCAGGTCTGTCATAGACTTTAGGACACTAACACAGGTTGCCAGCTACTGAGCATGACTATAGACTGAGTTCTTTCACACCTGATTTCACTTTGTCCTCCAGCAGCCTGAGAGGCCAACATTATAGCTTCATTCTCCGCAGACGGAACTGGAGCTAACAGAGTCCCCTTGTCACTCGCCCCAAGTCATGCAGAGAGGAAGTGGGTAAGACCAGATTTCGTCCCGCGCCCAGGTAATCCATGTTTTCGGTTATCCAGTAGTTACTGAGTATTTACCAGGTGCCAGGCCAAGCGCTGTGGCCTGTGCTTTCTGTGAGGAGCAAGCCAGACTGGATGTTGGCCTCGGTACGTTTGGTCCTTTGGAAAGATGGACATTGAACAGAGCAATCATAAAGCATATTAGTTCAAATTACACAGGGGGCCATGGAGGAGAGGTACCTAGTGCTGAATTGTGTGTACTGGGGGATCTATCTTTGCCTGGGGTCCCCCACAAGCTGCCCCTGTGACCGGGTTTGGATGCAAGTAGGTCATCTGAAGGGTGAATGCAGAAAGGGAATGACACAGGGAAGAATGACAATAAAGGACAGATCAGTGGGACTCTGACCACCGTGGACAATTGGAGCTCAGTCTCGCTGAGGACACTCTTGAGAGACCATGTAGATGACAAATGTCCCACCACTGAGTGGTTGTAGAAGCTGGGTGTTCATCACCAACTTCTGTCCCTCTTTGGTTGAAAGGTGAATGCCC